AAAAAAAAAAAAAAAAAAAAAAAAAAAATGAAAAGGTCGCTAAGGCGGCTCCTCTAGCCACAGGCAGCCCAAGCTCACTACAAGAAAAGCGAACGTGACTCTTACAGTGTTGCGCAACGTTTTATATTTATAATGGTTTGTATGGGATGTTATCGGTTTGCCTTAAAAGAGAGAAAAAAAAATGTCTTGTTTTGAAATAAAATGGACTTACCTCATTGCCTTGTTGTTTTGTATGGGATGTTATCGGTTTGCCTTAAAAGAGAGAAAAAATGTCTTGTATTGAAATAAAATGGACTTACCTTATTGCCTTGTTGTTTTCTTTGTTGACTACCAGCGTCTCAGGCCATTTTGGAGCGTTTTCGGCGAGTTAGCGATATTTTGGTGTTCACTGCAAAAAAAATATGGCGCGTTATTAGGGTCAAAATAAAAAAGATACATCCCTCATTATGAATTGAAAATGATATGTTCTTTGTCGTCTAATTCTGCAAACTGACCTTTTGAATGAGCCGATCAGCACACTCGCGAAGAATATTCTGGGTAGCCGGATCCATCACTAGCAAGAACGCATGGCGCGAAAATCCAAGTATCAGGCAGACGTCATACCGGCTTAGTGACCAAGCCGTGTCTATCAGATACGTCATGTACGCCTGGTCGAAAGAATTCAATTCAAAATCCGCGTATTCAATTCTAAATGCCTTGTTCATCACAAATCGCACACCCCGGCAGAAGGAAGTTTCCAATTCAACAGTCACAGGGGAATGTGTTATTTCAGGAATAATGACGGAATTTTGCCGATTTTTTTTGTGATGCGATAATGTTCAAATGTAACCTTTCACAATTCAAGCTGGAAAAGAAGGTAAGTTTGCAGAATTAGATGACAAAGAACATATCATTTTCAATTCATAATGAGGAATGTATCTTTTTTATTTTGACCCTAATAACGCGCCATATTTTTTTAGCAGTTGAACACCAAGATATCGCTAACTCGCCGTAAACGCTTCAAAATGGCCTGAGACGCTGGTAATCAACAAAGAAAACAACAAGGCAATAAGGTAAGTCCACTTTTTCAAAACAAGACATTTTTTCTCTCTTTTAAGGCAAACCGATAACATCCTAAACAAACCTTTATAAATATAAAACGCTGCGCAACACTGTAAGAGTCACGTCCGCTTTTCTAGTGGTGAGCTTGGGCTGCCTGTGCTCTAGCTAGGGGAGGAGGGCCTCCCCTGAATTTGACCGGCTCGAAATGGCATTGCTTTAGTTTCGATCTCCCCCAAATTTGGTGTGTATGACGTTGAAATATTAAACAAATCACTTACCGAGTTTGGTGGGAGACGTTTGAATGTAACGTGCACAACTCTCATTTCAAATTTCAAATTTCACCCGTGAGGAAGGCATCCAAGCGAGCGCGTGTGAGTTTACGATGCTGTGATTCTAGAGGACGCCGCGGTCTGTCTTGGTGGTCGCGTCGAGCCTGACGGCTTGTATGTAAAATAGTTTACGTTCGATTCCGATCACGATGACGCGGCGAATCCTATTGGCGGGAAAATTTCACATTGCGCCAGTTTGAGATCAGCTCATCAAACATCGTAGCCACACGAGCAAGCACAGTACGTGGAAAGTTTCTTGGCCTTTTTTCTTTTGTAATAAGAAATTATGCCAAAGTTAAGGGAGACCAGGATCTCCCTTCTTTATGTGTACGATTCAAGTGTCATAAATGATGAAGAATTTGTTTTGCTGTACGATATCAACACTGCAAAGAGCCCTGACTTTCCTTACTGGAATTACGAAGCTTTTGAACTCGACATGATGTCTGACGATGAATGCCAAGCTGAATTTCGCTTTTACAAGAATGATGTGTATAACTTAAAGGAAGTCTTGAATCTCCCATCGGAATTTACATGCTATAATGGCTTGACAGTAGATGGCACTGATGTTCCCTGCATCTTTTTAAAACGATTTGCTTACCCTTGCTGCTATCTTGACATGATTCCAAGGTTCGCTAGGCCCGTGCCTCAACTTTGTATGACAAGTACTTTGGTTATGGTATATACGCACTGGAACCATTTGCTAACAACGCTCAATCAACCTTGGCTTTCCCCTGATAATTTGGAGAACTTTCCTAATGCTACTTTTCAGGTTGGCAGTGGTTTGCAGAATTGTTTTGGTTTTGTGGACGGAACGGTGAGGCCTGTTTCCCTACCCGGCAAAAATCAAAGAGTTCTGTACAATGGCCACAAAAAAGTTCACGCTATAAAATTTCAGTCCCTCGCGGTTCCAAACGGTCTGGTAGTTAATTTGTTTGGCCCAGTGGAGGGAAAACGACATGACAGTGCTATGTTAGCTGAATCTAATTTATATAACCAACTGGTGCAATATGCTGTTAACATAAATGGAGACTCATTATATATGGTGATCCCGCCTATCCCCATCGTCCACAACTGCAAGGTCCTTTTTAAGGGAGCAAGGATGACACAGAATGAGAAGGACTGGAACAGTGCTATGAGTAGCATGAGGGTATCTGTACAATGGATTTTCAAGGACATAATCAATTACTTTAAACTCTTAGACTTCAAAAAGAATTTAAAAGTTCAACTCAGCGCAGTGGGGAAAATGTACATTGTTTGCACTTTACTTCACAATGCAAGGTGCTGCTTATATGGTTCAACAACTTCTGAATATTTTAATGTTCAACCACCAACTCCCCAAGACTATTTTTTGTAAATCGGTCAACATTCATGCAACATAGCTCAAGCTGTAAGATCATTTTAACTGAAGCTCTATAGGTGGCAACTTTTCATTTTGACAAATATTTGACTGTTGTACTTTTAACCCAAATTTATTGTGTTACTTTTAAATAAAACCTATAAGTTGCATTGATTTCTATGAACTGTGTTTAAGGTAAGTGACAGGCAAATGGACAGCATTCACTGTTGGGACACAACTTTTATTCTGAACATTTACAAATGATAGAAAATAATAGAATTATACCACGGTATTAAAGAGCTTGCATTATATGAAAATAGAATGTTTGGTCTTTTGAAATGCCTACTTCACACAAATTATCCTTTTTTCTGCAAAATTGACAATGTGGCTAAGGTATAAGGATCACACTTTCATAACATACCTAAAATTTTCTGCCTTCTGCAAAGTTATGGCAGTCCCAACAGGCAAAACAAATTAATTCTCATAAAAAATGGAAATAAGGAATGCTCAGTTTCAAAATAATTTTAAAGTCAAGTGCCTCTAAGCATCCTTTGGCGTGAATGCACCTTGCAGTAAAGTTGGCAAAGCAGTGTTCTGCACTTGCATTTGCAGTAGGAGCTGGTCCTGCTGTTTTTGTTGGCTTTTGATGTTGTCTAATAACACCTTTGCGAGACTCTCTTGCTGTATCATGAGATTTTCTTGTTGGATTTTTTTCACATCAAGCTCAGCCTTCCTTTATTGAAGCTCCTCTCTTTTCAGGCTGGCATCAAATTCAGCCTTTCCTCTTAAGTAAGCGACAGTTTCAGTGCCTGTGGAACGCTTGCATTGTTCTTGTTCACCCTTCCTCTTCTTGCTCTGAGCAAATGTTTCCATTGAAGCCTTTAGCATTTCAACTGCCTTTGCAGTCTCTTCCTCTGCCTTTCCCCTTTTTTTCTGATTCCAGTTGCTGATCTTCAGCATCTCTCTCTTTAAATTGTTCAATAATGTCTGTCATAGAGTCATCAAATGGTGTATGTTGCAGGGCAATCCCACTGGCCTTTTCTTCTCTTATTTTATTCTTTTGTTCTTTCTCTAGCATGATGTAGTGATCACATACAGATTTCTGATTCACAGTAAACCTGGTAGATTCAAGCTTACTTAAGGACTCACTTATTCTCTCCCACACTTGACCTCGCGGTTTACTTCCTCGTTTGTACTTCCAAGATTCAGACAAATAAATTTCTTGCAATAACATATTGTGTTGATCACTCCACACCATTGGCCTTTTAACACTGTAAGGGCAAATATCTTGTGAGGAAAAAGTTACAGAAACAATATAAATAGATTTGTTGTTTCCATTGTTACATACGACATCACTTTTCTATAAATATCTTGCAACTAAAAAATTTGAGTGAGCTGCAAAAAATATTCATTAATGGTATGTTACTAAACAAATAACTTACATTCGCTCAAACCTCTTACATTAAAATTTTCAACTTAAGATAATCAACATGGCTAAGAGATGGCTAGTCTAAATCAATTCAAGACTTCATTTCAGAGAACAGATGATTCAAAGAATGACAATTTCATCAAAGCAGTCGAAGGAAAGATTTATAATTTGATAATTCAACAAACATGCAGCCCTTTAATTTCGAGAGCAAAAACCCTTTAAGGTTACAAATTCCATAACTCTTTTTCTTCGTTCTTGCTATTCTTTAGTATGACTGGTTTTGTTGACCGATTTCCCTGGATCCTTCGTAATTTAATGTGAGCAGAAAATTATTTTGGTGACTGAGCCCTGATTTCCGAAGGGCTCCAAGAGTAACACAACAACTATGCACAATAATCATGAGACTAAATTTAGCCAATTTGATTCAGAGTAGAAACGGATTAGAGAAAGATACAACTGAAAATTAAGTTGTGTCAGAAAAGAAAGAATATTCTAAGAAATACATTTGTCATGTTTTGGGAACAGTGCAGTCATTGACTGCTGGTTTATAAACAACGAAGGCATCTTTAAAATGCGTACGTACTCCAAGCAAAAGATAAACTCTATCTTTATGAGACAAAAAATTTTAATTATTATGAGACACAAAAATTTTATTAAACAGCAGCATTTGATGCAAAGGGGTATAATTTGTACAAAACTTACCTTTTTATATTGGTTTTCTTCTTCGATCCCTCCATCCTGCAAGACGCCTTCAAAATAGGAGATCTTCCCGCCTGGCCGTCAGCCGACGCCGTCACGCTATGACATGCGCATACGCAGTTATGTACCTTCGGCCGCGGCGTCGCGAACATTTTCGGACTGTAAACTCACTAATATCTCCGCCGGTACTGGAGCTATTTTATGATAAAAACTTTGCTGATGGGATGGAAAGTGAATAAGAAAGCGATTTGGACCAGTAATGGAGAATCGAGGTAAGAAGTCTAGTACCATTGCGAAATCGTTGCCATCGACCGCGTGGTCATGAAATTCGAAGTTGTTCGCCTCAGGCTGTCCTTTTCTGTTTGATTTTCTGTTTTGATTTCTCGCGCAGCTCTTCAAATTTGATTTTAAATTGATTTACGGGACTCCAATAAACAGTAATTTACGCCGAGAACATGTTTTGTGCATTCTCCTTCTGTGCACCTACATTATGGAATACTCTTCCTAATTCTCTTAAATCTGCAGCTTCTCTTTCGTCTTTTAAATCTGCCCTTAAAACATTCCTATTCTGGAAATTTTATTTTTAGTATTGTGAAACACTACATAGGTTTTTATCCCATTTAACTTTATTTTTGTTTGTGTAGGTACTACTAACTGTTAGTATCGTTGTTATATTTTATTTTTATTATGCTATGTAAGCGCATTGAGAACCTTAAATGCGCCCATAAAAACCTTACTATTATTATTATTATTATTATTATAAATGCGAAGCGATTCGAAGTGGAATCGATACTTCGTTCGATAGGCTGCTACCATGAAAATGCATCTTTTGAATTTTTGAATTTATTTCGGATGATATGGGCACAAATAAAAATTCGTTAAAAAAATCAATATTTATTGTTTTTCTTTCAAATTTTCAGGACGTATTGCTAACATGTTCATGATCAATTTGTGCTATCAAATAATCTGCCATATCCTGTGCTAATGAAGATAAGTGACTTTTACCTCGAGTTTTGCATTATTATTTTGCTTATTTTGTGTTTTAAATTTATTTTTTTCAGGAAACTCCTGGCTTTCAATGATGTGATTTATAGTTCTCTGGAAAGTTAATTTTATACACTTAAAAGTGAGATGTTAATTGTAGGTGTTATTGCTGTACATATTTGTTTAATAGATAATATAAAAGATGGATGTGTACAATTGTTACGTTTTACCACTGCACTATATGAGTTGAAAAAGAGTTTAATCCTATCAAATTGCTTTTAAAATGTTAAACACACAGGTAGGTTCTATGTGTACAGCTTATCCACTCTCTCACCTGATTGGTCAAAAAACCTATCATTTATTGTACTGGTAAACCCATAGAAAATTGAAACAATTTAAGTTTCTTTCATACGAGCAATAGACTGCACTTTTTATCGGTTTACCAGTGAAGTAACCCACCTGGGATAATGAGAGTTCTCCCAACATTCTGCGTGGGTTATTATGCCTGTAAACCGAAAAAAAGTCTGTTGTATTCCGCACTTAATTTGCATGCATGACAGTTCACGATTATGACACTAACTCATATTGTGCATTTGTGCTGGTAAGAATTCCTGGATACAAGTTTGTTAATAACCCAGTGAATCAGTGCAGTTCCTAAAGGACATGTTGCAAGGAGAACTGACTATTTCAGTTGAAAATTCAGGTTAAAATGATGAAGCAACTTACCGTGGATGATATTGCAATGAAGCCATAATTGGAGAATTAAAAATAATTTTGATCCTTCCATCCCTTTTCCTTCTGAATGCTGGAGTAAAGTCCTGCTTCTGTAAAGTGAAATAGAATTGGTCAGATTAGCAATGCTGTCATAGATCAAGAACTTGGTAGGGGGATGGGGCAGGTTGGAAGAGGGCCTGATTGAACCACCTTTAACTGATATAGCTAATGTCTTAAAATTAATGCGTAAAAATTTTTTAAATATCCTGTGGATAGTTGTCGTGTGCACTTGAACGCTTTTTTCCCGAAAGCCTTTCTTGAAACAACTGTAAACCCCTTGATCCTGAAGCAATCTCTTGATTTTTGAAAATTTACTCACATGGCCATGCGAGTATTCTGCATCAAAACATTACAGCAACAGTCGGGGAACATACAATCGAAAAATGAGTGAAGAGATTTGTTCTTCGGCCTAAATAGGGTATTCAGTATCATCAAGAGTCAGGTTTATCTTCTCCTGGTACCATAGCCTGATGTTGGATAGTATTTGGATAGTATTTGGATATTATTACAATATTACAAAAAATATACACTACCGGCAGTTAACAAAGGCTATTTGAGGCAGGCAGTGTTAAATACATATATTATAAAATAAAAAGATTTACAGAGCAAGAGATTAATTAGACAAATTACAACTACATTAATTCATTTAAGATACGGCAAGAGAACAGAACAAGCTGGGGTCTTATAGTTGTGCTATTAAAGTAGACAAATCAATATAATCATCATATTTTTCAAGTCTCTGAAGGAGGAAATCATGGATTTTACTCTTAAAATTGTATTTTGATAGCTGACGCACTTCACAAGACAAGCTATTCCAGATTCTAACACCAGTTCTCAAAAATGCCCTTTTTTGTATATCTAATCTTGAAATTTCAACAAAATAGTCGCCTCTTGAAGATGATCTTGTCTTAAGGGGTGAATATTAGCTTGATAAGCGAATAAATTAAAAGGTGACAAATTATTGGATATGTCAAAAACACATCGGTACCACGATATTCTCTTACTTCAGACTTCAGATCAGTTTTCTTACATCGTTCAGGCTTCTTAGTGATAAGAAATGAAATAGAGAAGCTACGAGTGGAGTTTAGGCTTTTATAAACCGGCCTCAACTAAATGAAACCGACATTCAGAAACAACAGGAAAATAGCTCAGTCACAAACTGCAGAGGACTGTGTACTTGATTGACAAGTTTTGTGAGATACCACCCCCCCCCCCCCCCAATAAAAAAAACAAAACAAAACAAAAAGAATTTAGACTGTGGTACCGATGTGGTTTTCAATTGACTTGTCATGACTTAATACTAGCTTGGTCACGTCACGTAACGTGTTGCGTGACTAATCAAGGCAAGCTCGCAAGGGCATTTAAAAATGCACTTCCTTATTTACCCACTAACTGATTTTCACACTAGTAGAGAAGAGAGAAAAGATGTCACCGGCAAACGCAGATTTTTCCCTAAATCAATGAAGAAAAAAGACTAATATCTGCTTTATCTCTAAATGCTGGCTAAATGTAGCGAGAATCGAATGATTTGGTTTGATCAATCGACAATTTGCTGGCGAAGTGAAGATACTTTCTACCGGGCTTTGTGAGGTTTGACGAAGACCAGCAGTTTAGCGGTTGAAAAGTGAACACAAATGTTTCGCCATTAGAAGGAAGATCGTTTCAAAATATGGAATTGACGTAAAGCGGTGCAGTTCTTGACATAAACAACTTCAACTTCCTTTAATGCTATATCGAAGTGACTAAAAATAGGTCACATGTCCAGTCACGTTCAGTTTGGGAACAGCTAATCAACGCGACTATTGACTAAATGTGCCCGACATTGTAGAGATTCTCCAGGGAATGACTCACTGTAGCGGTAACATTGATACAGAAATTTACTGTTTAAGCGAGAAACCCAAAACTGATAACTCGAATCAAGATCGAAAGCAAAAGTGGGTATTTCACCAAATTCTAAGAATTTGTAAATCATGTGTACTTCCGCTCAATGGATTACAAGTTCTCTCTACTTTATTTCCTTCTGAACTTAAATTAATTAGAAAAGCGGTAAATTAGCAGTAGATAATAATGTTTTGCCCACAATTTACTTTGAGTTAAGAAACTTCATGTTTCACTTCAGAGGGCCCATTTATGATAAACAGTGATGCATATTTTTCTCAAATTCCTTCTTATATATACATATATGTCTCAATCTCACAAATTTCTGTTGAGAAGTGCACCTCAGCCGAATATTTTGTTTTATTTATTTCTCTAGATAATGGATGCAATTGGCTAGATTCATGCTTTCTATCCAAGAAAAAGCGGCTATGAAGTAATGAAAGGATCAGAGCGAAATTTACGATGTCAGCCACGCGTCTGATCGCTTGTTTTCAACTGCTATTCATTTCCACGGCGTATTATATTGGATTCCCCTTACCTCAGAGGATATAGGCACTCATTTTCTGCAAGCAGTTGGATTCATGATCAGACGGCTGGACACTATCCAAATCTATGACCAATATTTGGTATACAGTTTATACCAAATACTCCGCAGAATGCCTGATCAGCACACTGAAATACGATTTGAACTTAGGCCGGCAAGAGTACCATATAACCCCATACATTAATTATGCATTCAGTCTTTGTTCAATTAAAACAATAGCGATAACAATAGAACTCCGCAGAGACTAGTAGTCTTTGTTTTGAAAAGTTTGGATTTTTTTGAAACAGGGTAAATTTGGCGCGTTTTAGCTTTGCAAAACAGAAAACTCAAGTAATTTTCCAGAGGTTTTTAATTTTGAAATATAACTGAATGTTAACGTTAAGTCTACGGTCAGGCTTTGAAGTTTGTCAATGCAAAGTTTAAATAAATGTTGTGTCTTACCTGTTCTTGTGATTTTGGTTGATTCTTTCATTATCCTTTCGTGTCCTAGTGATGAAAATTGTTCGTGAAGGCCGGTGCATACAGCGATGCAAAGAAACCTTTGTATCTAGTCTTTCTGGACTTCACAAAGTTGGGCGATACGTTCGATAATGTTTCCAAAGGGATCGTTTCCGTAGTGCTGACGCCACATATATTCTTGTAGGTAGCCATCGAAAAGTCCTTTGGATGTTCCTGTTTGGGGCAAACCTCGCTTGATTCCCCACCATGTATTTTCGATACCCTGTGTGTGCGCACCGGTGAATTCCGGCGCATTGAAGCCATTCCATCGCAACCCTTTTTTGAACATCGCCACTCGTACCCGTCTCGCGATGAAGCACGTCGCGTCCAGCTAAGTTCA